AAAGTTTTGTTTATTGTTTCTGTTCAAAAATGAAATCCCTTAAGGGAAAAATGGTCAAATTATTCTATGACCTAACCATAGAGATGTGTAGCCAAGTGAAGTTTCCATTTGCAATTTGACTTATTTTGGATTTATGCTCTTTTTGTTGTTTGTAAATTTTGGCTGAAATGTCACAAATGTTATTGATTAATTTGGTTATTATTAGTGATCTATTTTAGAAGAATATATAATTCAGCATAGCAAAACGTTGAGATTTAATTCTGTATTTGTGGTTTATGTTTTGAATGAAGGTGACCTCTATTCCAAGAACATTTAATGGTAAATACATGTTAAGAGAAAGACTAAGAGAAAGATGGAATTACCTTAAAATGCTAAGAACCATTGAATCGTCATTCTGTAACTATTTATCTTTCAACATTCTAATTTTAAGTCACGAACCAAATTATATTAACCAATGTTTATGAATTCTTTAGCCAATTCATTTTAAGAACCCATAACAAACTCTGGCCCATCTTTTTCGATTTCTATATTTTCATGGAATTTTCGTGATTTGTGTTTAATTAACTTTGTCTAATAATTTTCTCAAGAGAGATTGATGTCTCTTGTGGTCGACAGACTAATTGATTCCAATAGTAAAGTCAATGTAAAAAACGTTATTATGTTTGCATGTTCTTTATGTTATCTTATATCTTGGATTTATGTGGATAATCTTATTTGTATTTCTCGTGAGTTTGTCGTCAAGCTCTTAGACAAGTAAACAGAATTATAATTATACTGTTTATTGTAAACATATCCCTTTTTTTTTAAAGTTTGTTGATAACAGATCCTGTTTTTTTTTTCTTAAATTTTCTTTCTTTTTATTTTTGATATAATAATATTACTTTGGTTTTGACTGTTTAAGTAAAACAAATTTCAAAAAAATATCTGCAGCTTAGCGCGGGTTTCGACCTAGTAAACAATAAAAGAAGGACGCGTACAAATGAACATTAAATTTTTGAAAATGATTGAATAATTTTAAATTAATTTAGAAAATATTCGTTTGATCAACATTGATCTATAGAAACACTATAATAAAGGGAACTTTACTCAGATGTATAACATTTTATATGAAATTACCAGAAACATACAGATCTTTTTTTATTACTATCATATTTCGGGTATATTTTTTATACCCAGCGTGTCCCGGTTAAACGTTATAGGAAAAAACGTTATTACAAAGAATGCCACTGCCACATCAGCAAAGCCGCGTCGCCACGTCAGAAATCGCTGACGTGTATTAATGAACTCAGCCGTCAAGCGATATAGCGGCAGTGACGGCTGATTACGGTATGTTGCGGCTGATTTAAGGAAAATGGCTGAGTTATGAGCAAACGGCTGACTTACGAGTATAACCGAGCCTGGAGTTACGGCTGACTTACTGAAATCTGTCTGAGTTATGATAAAATGGCTGACTTTCGAGCATAACCCAGCCTAAGTTACGGCTGAGATTTCACCTGATGGTTGATTTGTCAAATTTTTGGCTGAGTTATTGCTTCGACACGGCTGACTTAACTTTCTCCGGCTGGCTGAGTTATCAAAGACGGCTTAGTTATGGGATGACGTTACGGCTGATTTATGTTCGAGTGTCATAAATCAGTCGTAATGAGCTGGATTAACGGAAAACTCGGCCTTATTACGTCTGACTTAGTAGCGAAAGATTAATTACTAGAATAGCATGCAATGACGGCCGACTTATTAAACGACACGGCTGAGTTAAATATTTTTGGTTGAGTTACGACAGTAAACGGCTGAATTTGGCTGCCTTTTTTTCTTTTTTTTAATTACTGTAATAGTATTCATGTTGCGACCGAGTTAAAGTTTTGTTTGATGGCTGGTTTAATTAAGCTGATTTACATTTTCGTTTGGTGGCTTACTTGCCACTTCATCAATTAAAAAATGACGTGGATGCAACATTCCATGTCATCATCATTAAAGGATAAAAAAATAGGGCCAAATTTTTTTAATTCGTCTTCTTCACCTGAGTTTTTCACATCACCGGAACTTCCAATTCCTCATCGTCTTCCTCATTCTTCTTCAATTTCTTTCATCCTTCTCTCGATATGGTTGATCCGGTTCCGGTAATTGGGTATAGAAACACAAATACGTATTTAACACCGATGAAAGAGGGTGTAGAGTTGTGCAGATAAATGCGGAAACAACGCACGAAAAACTTGTGAAGTTGGTGCTCGATGATAAAGTTAGACAAAATGTTGCGTCTCTTATTGTTTCGCGGCAAATTTACATGTCACAGCTGAGTTATATGCTTAAGGGAAGACGAAAAGTTTGGTCAATTTACATTTCACGGCTGAGTTATATGTTCCAGGGAAGACGAAAGGTTCGGTAAATTACATGTCACGGCTGAGTTATCATTCAGGAAAGACGAAAGGTTGTGTAAATTATATGTTACGGCTGATTTAAATCACGTTACGGCTGAGTTACATCACTTTACGGCTGATTTATAATACAGATCGGAAAATAACATTTTTTTGGAGAAGTCAATATGAAATTTATTGGTCAAATAACAACAATCAAATTAAGATTCGTAAAAATATGTTTGAGGGATACATAGGAGGAAGACTAAACCGTATGAATCAAAACATAGATAGAAGAAGAAATGTCTCCAAATAGATCGATTGAGAGGAAGATTAAACGAGAGACATGTAAAATCAAAGTAAAAGAGTAGCTATTCTTGATTTCAACTCAAACCTGTAACGAATCATGTAGAATTCCATAGATCTCTTTGACTTGGGTTTTGATTTTTGATGACTTTTTTCGTAAGCGAGGTTGCGAGTAGATCTGACGAAGCTTTTTATTTGGGACCTTATGGCAAACGTTGTGGCTGTGAGGTCTAAGAAGATCCAGCACAATCCTGCAATTTGAAGATCTCTGTCAATGTTGTACCCAAGTTAGTTGCAGATTATTAGATCTAAAAGCTTTTATTGGATTTGGAGACAAAAAAAGAGAAGAAGAGAAATAACGTTAGTTTGAGGAGTGTGAGATTGGTGATGTGGATTAATGACATGGATAATCAAATTTTTATTTATTATTTTTAATTAAAAATGAATTAAAAATTATTAATTAAAAAAAACTAATGAAGGGTGTTAATTGTAATTACACAAATGCTCAAAACATATGAGTAATTTTTAAAAGATATATGATATTCTAATTATAAACATACTTTTCTATAACATCTCAGTAAATTTTTCTATAATAAATACTATGAATAAATATCGTTCTCTACAAAATTACGAAGACGTCGATCTACATAAATACATGTATGCATTTGGGTTACACAATGATAAAATACTGTTAGTATATCCCAAATTTCTCCGTCTATCCAACGCAAAGATTTAGATGTATGAGAGTTTTACTAGATTGAAGTTGTTGTTGTAATATTTATCTTATACTACTATTTTAAATTTTGAGTTGAATAATAATAAAGTGCCTTGTATTCCCTATTTTGAGAAAATTAGATCTCATGCCTTACAGTGTTCAAAAACTTACGCAATATGCCACAATGCGTAATTCCTTTTAAGATGTGCCATAACTTCAACTTAAAATGACTGATTTGCCCTCCATTTTTACAAACCGAAACAAACCTTCATCTTCTTCCCTTTTGCTTCGAAACCCTCTCTTTCTTCTTGTTAGGGTTTCTTCCGGCGATTGTTAAAGATTTTTCGCAATACCCATCATATATCCTTTCAAGCATTCATAGTTTTTAACTCATTCCACTTCCCGAAGGTTCCCTCAGCAAATGAAGCGTCCCTCGTACTTGGAGTTGCAGATCTGAATCCAGTTACTGTTCATTATCCGTCAACGGTATCTGGGTTGATGGCATGTCCATCTGATTCCGGTACAGACGAAGGGAAGCAAGCCGGTGGCCACCCCAGCTTGTAACTTCTGTAGACATATTTTCAATAATTTCTGTGTAATAGAAATGAAATTGAAATTCCGAATGTCTATCAATTTGTCTGATTCCAATTTCTTGTCCACATGAAGAAACACACCGAGCCAAGTTCCGGCATTCTTCACTGTCTCCCCTCAGATCCGTTGACATCGGATCCACATTCATATTGTTGTCAATGTTGTCCTTCGCTAAAATGGACAAGATAATACATAAAAACTTGTTTACTACTTATTATCTACTAATAACTTATACCATACAGTGGACAAGATGATTCATAATAACTTGTCTACTAATAACTTGTCTACGTATACTTATCTACGTAGAACTTGTCCCTTATTATATTCAACTCGCTGTTGCCCGTTATTGTATAATGGACAATATCAGGGAGATACCAAATAGCTTGTCTACGCATTATACCAAATATCTTGTCTACTCATTTGTCATTAGTATAATGGTTCAGATTTAGACATAAGATCTTACTCAATACATTAACATTGCTTAATGGACAACATAATAGCCAATACATAGTAAAATGCTCAAGTACAGAGGATGGTTAGTGAAGAACACAACAATTATAATGACATGATTTTCAGTTCTTTGCTCAAAACATATCATTATCTTTGAAGATAAACTTTTTTTAAAAAAATTGTTTTACCTACAACCTAATTAAAATTTACGTTTCCCCTTTAAGAGACCATTTGTCCTCTGCGTGACATGGCAGCATTAAATGCCACTCCAAACAAAAAAAAACTCTCACACGTCAAATCCCCCACCTGCCAATTTCAAACTCCCGCTGAAACATCATGAGAGACAGTTTTGTCTTTCAACCCATGCCAGAAAAATGAAATGTAGCACATTTTGAAAGGAATAAACGAATGTGGCATAGATCAAAAAATTTCTACAAAACATGGGACATTCAACAAAATTCCCTTGTATTTTAGTTGAATAGTAAATTAATACGTTTGTATTCGTAGTTGCAGACTTGCAGCTATATATACCAACGGTTACCAAATACGTTTTCTGCAATTTTTAACCTTCCATTATTAGAAATACAAGCTTGATACAAAACAAAAATAGTAGGTAAGAAAAAACAAACCAATGGGCTTAAAAGTCGATATAAAAAGCCCAAATAAGGCCTAAACGACAAAGAAGGCCCATATAATCATCCCATTTTCACCCACCATTGTTTCCGTTGGAAGCTCTTTGAAAAAACAAACTCTCTTCGAATTCTCCGTCTCTCTCGATCGAATCGGCAATGGCTGCTTCCAGCTCCGTTTTCACAACCTCTCCGTCGCGAAATCTTTCTCTTATCCGTCTTCATCAGTCGCTATCTCCACCGTTGATCAGATCCAGCTCCGTCGCGTTTCGTCCCAAACGACGATCCAGCTCGCTCGTCTTGTGCTCCACTGATGAATCAAAGAGCAACACAGAGAAAGAGATCCCAATTGAACTCAGTAATTTCCCTCTCATCGCACTCTGATTTACAAATCAATTTTTCAACTTTTATAAATTGTCAAATCTCGAAATTTTCAGGGTACGAGGCGTTTCCGACAGTGATGGACATCAATAAGATACAAGAGATTTTGCCTCACAGGTGAATTTTTTTCTAAAAGCATTGTTCTTTTTATAGCTGAAGTTTGCGTTGTTGTGATCCAATTTTTCAAATCTCAATTTTGTTGTGTAGATTCCCATTTCTGTTAGTGGATAGAGTGATAAAGTACACAGCTGGTGTATCTGCGGTACGGTAGCTATTAAAAACGATACCCTCATGGTTGACAATTTCTTTCCTGGGCATTTTCCTGAGAGACCTATAATGCCTGGAGTTCTCATGGTTGAGGTAATTGCAATGCCCTCTTCTCTCTTCTTCTTACTCCAAAAGGTTCAGTCTTTTTGCATGTATTCATAGTTCATGAGAAGCTATTTGGACATGTAAGTTTCCTCTGTTTCTTGCTTGCTGAAGTAGAATGCTTGGTTGGTTAGTTGGTTTTGAATTGTGATGTTGGGGAATAGAATGAGGGTGCAATTTGTGTTCCGGTTCAAGTTTTGAGGGATGTTAAGGTGAAGGCTTTTGCTTTAAGTTTCAGTTATAAGAGTGGGTTAATAGAGTTCTCTAAAGCTTGAAATTTAAGAATGGGACTGGATTTGAGTTTAAGATAAGCTTGTCTAAAGGATATCTTGGATGATAGCTTTATGCTGTGATAAAACTAGTTAAACCTAAATCTTTCTAGTAAAAAGTAAAAACTAAAACCTCTTATTATAATAGAAAATCTCCAAAATTGGAAAAAAAATTCCTCAATCTTTAATATTGCTTCTAAAAAAAAATAGAAAATTGGAAAGAAAAAAAAAACCCTAAATCTTTACTTGTTCTTTAATTAAATACAACTTTGAGAGGAAACAAAAAAAAACCCTATATCTTTCAGTCGTCTCTGCGCTCCATCTTTCTCTCGTTGCACTAAGCTTCTCTCTCTCGCGGACGGTGATTATTAACCACTGGCTCATTCTCTGTCAAATCTCCGATTGCTTTCGCGCTTCGTGATTCCTGCAAGTTCATCCCCAAGGTATTATGCAAATCGCTTCTCTTTTGTTTTTTCTATAAGAAGAAATTGCTCTTGTTGTTTCGATCACTCATCTTTCCGCAAGAACTGAGGTTTGTTTTGGTTTGGTCAGGCACTGTCACTTAATGGCATCTGAATCCAATAGCTTCAAGAAAAGAGATCGTCTACTTGAAATTGAGGTAGCGGTTCGAAAGTGGTGGGAGGATGAGGATGTTTTCAGGGCTGAATCTCGTGATCATATTCCAAAGCCAGGAGAAAAGTTCTTCTCCACTTTCCCTTTTCCCTATATGAATGGTTATCTTCACATTGGGCATGCCTTCTCCCTCTCCAAGGTTGATTTTGCTTCTGCTTACCATAGACTTAGAGGTGCCAATGTGCTTCTTCCTTTTGGTTTCCACTGTACTGGTATGCCGATTAAGGCTTCCGCGGATAAGCTTTCTCGTGAGATCCAACAGTTTGGAAACCCTCCTGTCTTCCCTGCTCAAGATAACCAAGCTCCTCAAGTTCAGGAGGAGAGTAGTGATACACCGGTGGCTTTACCGGGTCAGTTCAAGGGAAAGAAGTCTAAGGTGGCTGCAAAATCTGGTGGACAAATTTATCAGTGGGAGATTATGCGCAGTTGGTCTTACTGACAGTGAGATTGCAAGATTTCAAGATCCATATGAATGGTTGTATTACTTTCCTCCTTTAGCTGTTGAAGATCTCAAGGCTTATGGATTGGGCTGTGATTGGAGACGGTCATTCGTGACTACTGATGTTAATCCCTTTTTCGATGCCTTTGTAAGGTGGCAGATGAGGAAGTTGAAATCTATGGGAAAAATTGTCAAAGACTGTAGGTATACAGTATTCTCACCTTTAGATGGTCAGCCTTGTGCTGATCACGACCGTGCTACTGGTGAAGGTGTTCAGCCTCAAGAGTATACTCTCATAAAGATGGAAGTAGTGAAGCCATTTCCTCTGAAACTGGGTTCTTTGGAAGGAAAGAGAGTGTTTTTGGCTGCAGCTACGCTGAGGCCTGAGACCATGTATGGACAAACAAACGCTTGGGTACTGCCTGATGGGAAATATGGAGCTTATGAAATCAGTGAAACTGATGTCTTTATCAGTTTAGATGCCAGAGGTTAGATCTGTCCCTAGTTCCCCTAGCCCTAGATCTTTTCGGAAAGGAGGAGTCAGACGGAATCAAATTATTTAATCTTATCTTCAGTGGAATCTTCATCCGGGAAGACCGCTACTAGCCCTTTACTCTATTGGATTGATTTGGTCGAGACCCGGTTTCTCCTTCCTAGAAACCTGAAACTGCAATCCGCAATCTTATTTTACGACGGTAGAGACGATTGCTTCCATTACTGACCAGAAAGACAGTAGCAATGGTTAGGTTGACAGGATTTGGCGCTGACTCAAAGGTACTTTAAAGTAGAGTCAGCACATTTCCCCCCCCCCCCCCCCCCCTTCAAAGAAGCTTACCTATCATATACAAATTCTCGTTCTCTGAAAATATAGAAAAAGGGAGTCTGTGCACCAATATCTGCCAAAGCACGCTTGGTTGCAAAAGGGTTTCTCAATCTTTCGGACGTGCTCCTACGGAACCAAGAGATCTGCACTCAACCTTGCCTACCAGAACTTCTCAAAGATCCCTCAGAAGCCATCCTGCTTGGTCGAGTTGACCGGGTATGATCTGATTGGACTCCCTCTGAGGTCTCCTCTGTCAGTGAATGAGATCATCTATGCTCTGCCCATGTCAACGATTCTGACCAACAAAGGTACTGGTATTGTCACCAGCGTGCCTAGTGATGCCCCTGATGATTACATGGCTTTACATGAGTTAAAAACAAAGCCTGATAGTCGAGCAAAGTATGGTGTGAAAGATGAGTGGGTACCCTCTGATATCGTACCGATTATCAACATTCCAGAATTTGGGGATAAGGCTGCAGAAAAGGTCTGCTTAGATCTGAAAATTCAAAGTCCAAATGATAAGGACAAGCTTGTAGAAGCGAAGAGGTTGATTTACCTGAAAGGATTCACTGAAGGAACAATGCTTGTTGGAGAGTTTGTTGGTAGGAAAGTTCAAGAAATCAAGCCCATTATCAAGAAAAAGCTCATAGAGTCTAACGAGGCTATCATATACAGAGAACCTGAGAAGTCAGTGATGTCAAGATCCGGTGATGAATGTGTTGTGGCTCTTACAGATCAGTGGTACATAACGTACGGCGAAGCAGAATGGCGGAAAATGGCTGAGGAATGCTTATCAAAAATGAACCTCTACTCTGAAGAAACAAGGCATGGATTTGAGCACACTTTAAGCTGGCTCAATCAGTGGGCTTGCTCACGGTCTTTTGGTCTAGGAACTCGTATTCCTTGGGATGAACAGTTCCTTGTGGAATCCTTATCTGATTCATCACTTTATATGGCCTACTATACGGTTGCCCATATCTTTCACGACGGTGACATGTATAAAGGCAGCAAGTCGTTGATCCGTCCTGAGCAGATGAATGATGAAGTTTGGGAGTATCTCTTCTGTGATGGTCCGTATCCAAAATCAACCGATATTCCATCAGCTGTTTTAAGTAAGATGAAGCAGGAATTTGACTACTGGTACCCGCTAGATCTTCGAGTTTCAGGGAAGGATCTTATTCAGAATCATTTGACATTTTTCATCTACAACCACACTGCACTAATGGAGAGTCGTAACTGGCCACGTGGTATCAGATGTAATGGTCACATTATGCTCAATTCTGAGAAAATGTCAAAGTCCACTGGAAATTTCAGAACCCAGCGCCAGGCTATCGAAGAGTTCTCTGCCACTGCTACAAGGTTTTCTTTGGCTGATGCTGGTGATGGTGTTGACGATGCAAATTTTGTATTTGAAACTGCAAATGCTGCAATTTTGCGGCTGATGACTCAGTTCAAATGGATGGAAGATGTTCTGGCTGCTGAATCCTCTTTGAGAACCGGACCTCCATCTACGTATGCTGATAAAGTGTTTGAGAATGACATGAAAATTGCTATCAGATTGACTGAAAAAGCTTACAAAGATTGTTTGTTTAGGGAGGCACTTAAGAATGGGTTTTACGACTTACAAGCTGCTCGAGATGAGTATACACTCTCCTGTGGCAGTGACGGAAATATGAACCATGACTTGATACTGAACTTCATGGATGTGCAAACACGCCTCATTGAACCAATATGTCCTCAGTTTGCAGAATATATATGGAGGAAACTTTTGAAGAAGGAAGGTTCTGTGGTAACAGCAGGCTGGCCTACATCAAATGAGCCAGATTTGGTTCTCAAGAGTGCTAACAAATATTTGCAAGATTCTATTGTCCTAATGAGAAAGCTTCTACCAAAACAGCTCTTAGGTTCCAAGAAGGCTGCTAAGAAAGGTGCTCAAGTAGCAGCAGTGCCAGCGGGAAAATTAAAAGGCCTAGTATATGTGAATGAGCAATTTGATGGATGGAGAGCTCACTGCCTCGAGATTCTGCAAAGCAAATTTAACCAACAAACCTGTCGTTTTGCCCCTGATGCAGAGATACGGGCAGAACTAAGTGAGATATTACAGAAGGAGGGACTAGCAGAAAACGTTTACATGCCTTTCGTTAAATTCAAGAAGAACGAGGCAATATCTATTGGCACTCAGGCTCTAAATTTGAGGCTGCCTTTTGGAGAGATTGAAGTCCTTGAGAGTAATAAGGACTTGATCAAGCGGCAAGTTGGTCTTGAAGAGGTTGAAGTATATTCTGCAAGTAAGCCTGATGATGTTTCAAAAGCTGGTCCACATGCTTCACTGCTGAAGAAGAATCCTCCTTCTCCGGGCAATCCAACCGCCATCTTTGTGGCCAGGTAAAAGCTAGTTATTTCATTACAATTGCTTCCTAATAGATGCAGCAGCATGGATACTCTTTTTGTTTCTTGTCAACTAATCTGAAATCTTTACTGCTCCAGCACAAGTGTCTCCCCTCCGGTCTAAAATTTCTGTGCCCATACGGAATCATCTCTCTCTGCATATCTTAATGTAAGTTACATCTCTTTCTCTTTGACATCCATCTCCATTCTTTTCTCTATATAGTTTATGGGTCTTTGTTTGTTGGATGTTATAGCTAAATCTGAATCTTACCTTGCATATAGTCTTCCTTGATCATTCAAAGAACTACTAGAAAGATCTTACTTTGGCGAAAGAGGTGGACAAAATGTGACTTGGATGTTATTGAGTTATTGTGGATATACACTAATAGGAGGAGTTGCAAGTAATGCGATTGAGTTTTGTGATTGGTGTTTGTTGTGTTTCTAAAAAGTAAAAAAAAAGAAAGATTCATAATTAGGATCTGTGCATAATTTATGGTTTGTTAGTATCTGTGTTTGCTTTCTAAACTGATTTTGAGGATGAGACCAGTGCAGTTTATAATGTTTATTTTATAATCTTATTTCTAGCAAGGAATCTCCAAGGTGGTTTCTGATATAGCTGACTACTTAGTGACTTCTTCGCTCTAGCAATTTGGCTGCTTATTTAAAAATACCAGCCATATGATTTTTTTAACTTATGCGGATTACATTTTGCATATTCATGATAATGGGGAAACACTTGCTTTAAAGAGTGTTGACATTGTATGATGCTTGTTTTGTTTTCATGTGACTGCTGATGCAATTTTTTGTCATATTGAGACAAATTCATCACTCCGACCAATTAGATGAATACAAATGAGTCATTATGATACCAAAAAGATATAGCACTGAGGGTTACAATATGATCACAAAGTAAAAGACAGATGAAAACACTTTGATCTACCAAAAAACTAACATTTTTCTTCAGAAGCCAAAAGGAGACTTTGTCCTGCTCCCTCCTTCACCGTATTGCTCATTCCATTTTCTCAGCTCATTCATCGTCGTCGCATCATACGCCACAGATGGGCTCACCTGCAAAATCACATCACCCATACATATGACAACAATAATCACATCTTTGTGGTTTAAATCAATCATCGATAATGCAAAAGGCAAAAAACGCAAAAACTCAAGATACATCTTGTTTCCTGGCATTGATGCAACTAAATTACCTTAGCTTTAGACTGAATGAAGTCATCCAAACTCAGCGACCGTAGACCAGGAGACGCTTCCGCTCTTGTACCCTAAAGATTCAAACAAAGCAAATTATCAAGCTATGTAAATGAGCAGTGTATGTTGTAATGCAATCTGGATTCTGTACCTTTTGTTCTTCTTGTAACAGTTCTTGAACAGGCCTGTACGCAGCAGCAATGCATAGATTCTGCAATATAAACCCACAAAAGAAACAAATAAGATTAAAGAAAGAACTTATAAGTGCCGTCACGAGCTGGGGATTAGAAAACAAATACCAACCTTCAGATCGCTACCGGAATAGCCTTCAGTTTCCTTTGCAAGTTTGTCAAACTGGAAACCGGATTCCAGATTTTCTGGAGTTAGAAATATTTTCAGTATCTTTAACCGGTTTTCGGCATCTGGTAATTCGACATATATCCTAGAATTCAAAGGTAATAACAAGCTTTCAATTCAGATTCACAGTTTACCAATACTAGAAATACAAACTATCAATTTTCAAAAAGGCAAATCAAAGTCAAATCAGGTGTTACCGTCTTGGTAGACGACGAATGACCGCATCATCAAGATCAAAGGGACGGTTGGTGGCACCAAGAATGAGGATCCTTTGACTGTCTTTTGACCTGAGCCCGTCCCAAGCTGCCATGAACTCATTTCTCATTCTTCTGGTAGCTTCGTGCTCGGAAGAGCCACCACGAGCACCTAGCAGACTGTCAATCTACCAAACAAACAAAAATCCCCTTCAGTCACATTTACTCATCATCAAATATTTACTACGAGCATCAAATAACCAAAATAGAAAGTGAAAACCATATTCAATCCAGTGAACTATCGACATAATGAAGAAATGAATTTTAGTTTTAGGTACAAAATTCTCACCTCATCAACAAAAATAATTACAGGTGCTAGCTTGGTGGCAAAGGAAAAGAGAGCCTTAGTGAGCTTCTCTGCATCTCCGAACCACTATGCCAAACAAGGAACAAAGACAAGACAGAGTCGGATCAGAATAAATATTCTGGAAGACAATAAAGGGAGTATCATAAATCATTTATAGAAGTGTATCCTAAGTAACTACATATTCCATAAGACAAGTGTATCAATACAGGCCCTAGGGGTGAAGACAAGCGTATTCATTAAGGTTAACTATTCTTCATGATTAATATAAACATGCATACAAATGGACACAAACAACAAGGAGGCACAAAACATTGTCAAAATAATCTATTTACCTTTGATGTAAGTGTTGAGCCAGTTATGCTAATGAAGTTTGCTCCAGCTTCAGTTGCAAGCGCCTTAGTGAGGAGCGTCTTACCCGTTCCAGGAGGACCAAAAAGCAATATTCCTTTACAGGGCTGAAAAAGGTCATGTCATCAGGAATATCAGCCAAATTGAACGGAAGTACCTGACCAAGAAAACAACGATATGTCCCAAACAGAATGCAATACCCGCAAGAGATTTCCACGGGAGAAAAGCTCTGGCCTTCTCATGGGAAGAATAACCAGCTCATTTAATGCCTTTTTAACGTCTTCAAGAGCCCCAATATCTTCAAATTTGACGCCTATTTCACCAGGAGCAACCACAGCCGAGACAAAATTTCTTTCATACTCATCCTTTGCAATATTCTGCAATACATTTTCTGTTAACATCATGGTTACTCAAATGTATCCAAGATCCATTTACCAGAATCCAAGGGCAGGAAATTAACCTTCAAGTTTTGCGAGGGCTTTAGGGAATTATCTTCTAATTTTCTTAACCTCGCAATTGATATCTCAAGGCTTGAAAAAAAGGAAAAAAAACGCAGTAAGATTAAAGAATAAAAAAAAAATTACAGATCCACAAGCCACAATCACATGTACCTTTCACGAGGCAGAGACAAGCGACCTCCTTTAACCAATGGGTCTGGACAAGAAGCTAAATAGTGATTTTTGGCCCAGCCAATAGCTTTCTCTGTTTCTGCAAAAACAAAAGCCACAAGTTTCTGAGGTCTCTTCTTCATCACATAAACATTTTCATCTCAAAAAACAAGGGAAAAAGTCAGATGTTTGCAACAGCGAAAAAAAGCAGCAGATTTCAAACGTCAACCACAAGGAACTGTATCCATTCTCAACTAAATCTAATCAGAAGATTTACTAAACTTCTTTAAGAAAAAGTGAACAAGTAGTTCTCAAATGCTTGAGAATTTAAGATCTAAGAGTGTGCTCATAGGTGATAGGTAGCCCCTATTCTCAAATGTTTCTCATTAGTATCCTAACAACCCGATTCTAGCCTTCTAGGCATAGGAACGACTGCCATTATACATGACAGAGAGGAATTGCCAGTACAGAGAAAAGAAGTGTTTGCATTCTCAATCAGCAACTATAAATACAAACAAACCAAGTATTTTCATCCTGAGTTACGCACTTTGCTTTGTCAATATCACCCCATCGGTGTTCACTTGATACAAGTCTGTGCATAATAACTCATGTTCTTCAAGTGCCTGGGAAAGAGTACATTAAGGATGCAACAATTAGTGAAAACATTACACGTTCAACTAAATTTTTCTCATTGACATTTAATTTAGATCTACGAACCTTTAGCAACTCATTTATATTGCTCCGCGATATCACAATTCTCCTATCTTCTCCTAGTTGTTTCTTGAATAGTCTGAGGGTATCTTCCTCCTACACCAATATTTTACAGGAAGGAATCAAGTACTGTTTTGGCAATGTGGGTATATGCCTCCTACCTTTAACATCTATACATGAAGAAACAACTAATGGAAGTAGCTTATCCCCTGCTAAGTAGGATAGCACGTGACAAATAAGCTTTGCAAAAGCATTCATGGATCACAGATGGATATGTACCTCTTATATAGACTTTGAGAAGAGATATTATCCAAGCGACATAATCAGACTCGTTTATGTATCTCACTTAGGTATAACAATACATCTACTGCTCCTCATTCATTGTTTAGAGTCATGCATGAATAGTTCATTGTTAATTTGATAAAAACTTTTCAAAGACAGGCATACCTTCGGAGGATGTAGGCGCATAACATTAGTGAAAAGCTTGTATATCTCATTCTCCTCTGATTTTTTCCCTCCCGTGAATCCCTCAGTTAGGCCCTTCAAGGGAAGAGGCTGAAACATACAAAGGCAACAAGAAACTTTTTGATTAAGTTATAGTATCAAGAAGAGCATGACATCGCAAGGAATGCCATTTTAAAACGCAGATCGAGAAACCAAGCAAGAGTCATATCAAGGAGAATGGAAAGTTCAAATCCATATTTACAGTCCTGCACATGTTGCAAAAAATATGTAAAAAACGTGACTAATTTCACAGCGCCATTAGCTTGCACTTATTGCAAAAAACGGGTGTTCAAGATGTGGAATAACTTGCAAGTCCTCATTTGACAGTTTTCATCAAGGGACAACCAAGGGATAAGAAAAATGTCCGCAACTCAGGCAAAGACAAGTGCATTAAGATTTTTTTATATAAAAAAGTCACATATATCAGTAAAATGCTTTTTTGATGTTTAACTTACCAGCTTCACAAGTCGGCTAAAGTTTGGGAGTACCATCGTCTGTTTTCAGGAAAAAATAAATTTTTTAATACAGTAATCAGGAACAAAGGCGGAACAATAACCAATGACAAGTGAGTGAGACATAATGACAGGCTTACGAATTTCTCTCTTTCTTTTGAGCCTGTTTCTATCTTGTTCTGCCCACAGATCATAACAATCGGACCTGATAGTTTATTAAACATTTCCTGAACTTTGTCTACAAATTCCTTTCG